GGTTCAAGGCAAATCGTTCGTGGTTCAAACCCTTTTTTGCATTGAACCACGAACGATTTGCCTTGAACCGGCTTGACCACGAACGGTTTGCCTTGAACCACGAACGATTTGCCATGAACCACGAACGATTTGCCTTGAAACCACGAACGATTGGTTCAAGTCCAATCGTTCGTGGTTCCAGGCCGATCGTTCGTGGTTCCAGGCCAATCGTTTGAATCGTTCGTGGTTCAAGGCAAGTTCGGCGCTAGGGTTTCGGCCCAAGGGGTTTCGGCCCTAGGGTTTCGGCCCTAGGGTTTTGGCCCTAGGGTTTCGGCCCTAGGGTTTCGGCCCAAGGGGTTTCGGGCCTGGGGTTTCGGCCTTTCAGATCGGTTCCTGCACTCCCACAAACAACACTGAACAGATCGGCTCCTGAAGTACCACAAACACCGTAACAGATCGGCTCCTGCACTACCACAAACAACACCGTAACAGATCGGCTCCTGAAGTATCCTAAACCATGCCGTAACAGATCGGCTCCTGATGTAAGGTACATTTCATTGTGGAACTTGCTATGCTATGCAAAATAATGTACTTGACGTATCGAGCAACAACTGTGGAAGACTATAGGTAAGAGTGAACGAAGTCTAACTGTGAATGAAGGAAGCATTGTAGACTTGCATGAGAAAAACTTTTTAGGCCTGTTAAACCAAAACGAACTTTTTATTTCCAATGGTATGGGATTCATGGGTGGGTGGGTGTTATGTCTAGACCGTCAAAGTCACTCTACTGTAAAACTGCTCGATCCGGAGCTGCTGAACTCTAACCCCTAAGCGCTCAACCCTAAACCCTAAACCCTAACCCCTAAGCCCTAAACCCAAAGCCCTAAACCCTAAACCCTAAACTCATGCCCCGAAGCCCGAGCCGGAAGCCCTCTGACCACACGCATGGGTAGTTCAATTGAGGTCTCTTTTCGGGTCCTTCGCATGAATATATATATATATATGTAGGGGTGCCGTACTATATTGGGGACCTAAAAAGGGACCCAAACTTAGAGAACTACCCACACGCGCAACGCAAAACAAAAATGTTTACAGAGACGCGGACATGCGGACAGATTCCCCTAATCAACAGTGTGCTACCCAAACCCCCCAGGTGCCTACTATATAGGGCCCTAGGGGCTCTAGTACCCTATATAGTAGGTACCTGGGGGGCTAGGGCTACACATTCTGACAAAGGAAAGAAAGAGAATTGGTTGGCGTGTCCGCGCAGCGCACGCGGAAAACGGGACTTGGCTCCAGCTGCCCCATCTTCACGTTTAGGGTTTAGGGTTTAGGGCTTAGGGTTTAGGGTTTAGGGCTCAGGGTTTTGGTTCCGTGTCTCCGGCCTTGAAAACTCTCTGAATCCTGCCAGTATTTGGGGGAAAGCACTTTGGCCGCCCTCCTGATTCGTTCGTGCAGCCCGCCAGTTAATGGGGGTTGGACGTGTCTCTCAGTCATCCAGGGTGAAGCCTTGCAGTCGTGCCTATAAATCTAGGGTTTAGGGTTTAGGGTCTGGGCCGTCAGCAAAACACTAACCCTAAACCCGAAACCCTAAACCCTATACCCTAAACCCTAGACCCTAAACCCTAGACCCTAAACCCTAAGCCCGTGTTGGCCTTGTCGTCCTCAGGGGTCAGTGGTGTCCCCGCAATCTCCTGGTCGTCGCGTGATGGTCTCCCGGTGGTTTTGGTAGTGTCAGAGACTCCCATATGATTTAAGGTATATTCCGTCATTACTTGCAGGTTCATGGAACTTAGTAAGTCAGGGAATAAGTACCTTACTTAGGGTTATCAATAAGCACAAGTATAGCTGCCTTCTCCAGAACCCAAGTTACTATAAGATCCCATGATCCTTTGGGTAATCTCCTGGCGGTTGCCTCGTGGTCTCCTGGTGGTCGTGGTGGTCTTTGTGGTAGTGGTGGTGGTAGTGTTCTGTGACTGGCAGAAGACATTCGTATGTGCATGTATATGTAGTTATGTATGTAGGTGCGTATGTACGTATGTATGTACGTACGTATGTATGTATGTATGCATGTATGTATGTATGTATGTATGTGTGTGTGTGGAGTATGTATGTATGTATGTATGTATGTATGTATGTATGTACATATGCATGTATACATGCGTGCATGTATGTACATATGTAAGTCTGCAAGTCTGTCTGTCTGTCTGTCTGCCTGCCTGCCTGCCTGCCTGCCTGCCTGGCTGTCTGTCTGTCTGTCTGTCTGTCTGTGCGCATGTGTATGTGTATGTGTGTGTATATATGTATGTGTGTATATACGCATGCATGTATGTATGTATGTATGTACGTATGTATGTATGTATGTATGTATGTATGTATGTATGCAAGTATGCAGTGTAGTGTAATGTAATGTAATGTAATGTAATGTAATGTAATGTAATGTAATGTAATGTAAGGTAATGTAATGTAATGTAATGTAATGTAATGTAAGCTGATGTATTGTAATGTAATGCAATGTAGGTAATGCGTGATATGTATGTATGTATGCATGTATGTATGCATGTATTTATGTTCCTATTTTTATGTATCTATGTATTGATGGATTTATGTATGTATGTACGCATGCACGTACGTACGTATGCATGTATGCATGCATGTATGTATACATACATAAAGTCATAAGATGTGTGCAGAACCCCCTGGGACACTCAACAGGAGCTGCTCGCAATCCCGATGCCGAAGGTGCACGCGTGTAAGTGTAGAAGTCAGGGTTTAGGGGTTGGGTTTTGAGGGCTTATTAAGGTTTAGGCGGTTTAGGGTTTAGGGGTTGATTAGGGGTTATGGTCGAGGCTGTCGGTTTAAGGGGTTTGGGTGTTTTAAGATCAGGGTTCAGGGGTTAGGGTTCATGCTGTACCGGTCGGACTCTGTGTACCATAATAGCCTTTCATGACGTGCCTGTAGATCCCTGTCATGGCCGAAGAGGCTGCCATCAAAGACACCGTTGCAAAGGTGGCTGCGCAGCTCAGGACCATTGCTACAGAAAGTGATGACGTTGAAGCAGCGGCAGTTCTGAGCGTGCAAGATAATCCAGAGAAGTACCCATAGGCCCCATAGTAGTTCCTTTTGGGGATTACCTTATAGGATTTTAAATATGAGCCGCAAAAAGGAACTACTATGGGGCCTATGGGTATCTCAAGGTGGAAGGTGGCGAGATGCCACCTGGAGCAGTTTTATGCACCGGGGACACTCGCCCCTTGCATTTCATGAAAATGGCGCCCGAGGGCATCGAAACGTCTGTGCCCTTGGTGCTCGGTGGCGCGACAGACCCTAAACCCTAAACCCTAAACCCTAAATCCTAAACGCTAAACCCTAAACCCTAAACCCTAAACCCTTACCCTGCAGCACACTTTGTACACAGAGCGCGGCTGCAGGGAAACCTGCACCGCCAACAGGCCAATCCCTAAACCCTAAACCCCTAGACCCTCAACCCTAAACCCTAAGCCCCTAGACCCTCAACCCTAAACCCTAAACCCTAAACCCTAAACCCCTAGACCCTCAACCCTAAACCCTAAGCCCCTAGACCC